GTAAATTGTGTCTAGAAAAGCAAAGAGCAATGAAAAGAGATTTCTATATAGCCAAGACGATGCAGACAGGTTGCAAACACGGCCTGTAATGTAATTTGAGTTGCATATACCTAATATTCAAATGCAACAGTACATACTGTGGGCTGGATTGTCTTAACCGAGTAAGGGTTTACTCTTCCTATTGAATAACAATTCCTCTATTGAAGACTATAAGAAAATTGTAATTTAGCATACATGAATTTGTCAGGTCTATAACCTTTATTGGGCTATTCAGCTAGTAGTGACAGACTTTCTGTTTCTATCAGAAAGCCTAATGCTACTAGAAAAAAAAAAAACAACAAAAAACACATTACTTGATTAATGTAAACATATCCCAAATAAACAAGAGCATGAAAAGATTCATGCTTGGCTGCACTGAGTCCAAATATATATATATATATATCAATAAAGCAGAAACAAACTGGTCATAAAGCAGAAACAATTCTAAGACAAAGACTGATTACTTTCCATGGTAATTGCTCCTTATTTTCCATTTATCCCCATGATAGCTCTTAATTCTTTATTTGTTGAAAGGCAATAGTATAGGTAAGTGACATATGTTTCTGCAGGTTAAAATACAATACATAGAGCATCAATGTATAACAGCCAGTGATTTTTGGTTACACCTTATATCATCATTATAACAATAATCAACACTAAAGAAAATTATATAATAGAAACTGAGATAGGTTTGAAAGAAAAAAAAAATGAATTAAATAAATAAATTGCTGCCAGTCAGAGGGAGGGCTTCCATGCCCACCCATGTACACCCATGATCACCCATGTACTCCCGTGCACTCTTGATGCCCATTCTCCGTGTATTTCCAGTCTTTTTCATAGTGTCATAGTGATTCTTGTATACCTTGTATGGCTCCCAAGTTTTGTAGAATATAGGACCTGCGCTTTCTATTTATCCATAAGGTATGTGTATTTAAATTTAGTTACCACCTGTGCAATGTTTGGAGTCTCAGCCTGTAACCACAAACTAAAACAAGCTATGTAATGGCCTAACATTGTGTTTTGATTTGTGATTCTAAATTCTGTCTGGTTTAAAAAAAAGATGATTGCTGGGAAAAAAAGATGATCGATGATTAGGGGACAGTTAATAAATAATCAATGATTAGGGGACAGTAAAAGGGAAGAGCAGTTAAAAAAAAAACCTCATGGAACGTACACTTACGGGTGTACTCACTTTTGTTGCCAATGGTTTTTAAAGTAAAAAATTTCTGCTGGCCAACATGGCCAAATTTCTGCTGGCCAACATGGCCAAAATCTGGACGTCCCGAAAACGTTTCTATTTTTGGGAAAAAAATATTCAACCAAACTAAAAAATTCTCAATGTGCACAAGCATAATAAACCATGCATAATCAGGAAGTATTAGATTTCAGGTTCAGGGCAGTATAATGTCTTCAGAACCCCTCAATTACATTTTTTTTGCAATAATACACTCTTTACTGTTATGTATCCTCTCTCTCTTCAAACACTCTCACTCTTAGAAGCACAACAGGTATAATGATATGTGTTTTTTAAACTGATTCTATTTAAAAAGTTTGAAAGTGATGTTTATAATTTCAAGTCTCTAAAACATAGCCCCACCCATTGCCTTGAACAATGATTAGTCTGTCATATTATGTTGAACTTACATACATGACTTGTATGAAATCCCAATTATAGGGCACTGCTTGCTATGTTTTACCCAACTGTTATATGGAAAGCTAATGACCTTCTTTAAGCACCTTAATAATCGATTGCAGACATGAGAGCTTCATGATTGTATGATAACTATAGTGTTTAACTAAATTACAAGCTGTGCTATACAATTGAAAAACCAAACTGCTCTTACCTTCTGCTAAAAGTGATTAATGTTATTCATATTTGCTACAGGAAAAAAGCACTCATTATTCTAGCTTTTGAAAATTGCAGACAGACAAAGCTAACGTCTTAACAAAAATATTTTGAAGATATATTCTGTTCAATATTGTATTAAATACCTTGTTTTGTTTTCTATACATATAAGGGTGGAATAAGGGTTATTCTGCTTATTGAATGCCAAGATTTAAATGGAGGACTTGCTATTCAATAATTAGAGTAAACCATTACCCTGCTAAAAGAATCCAGACCAACGACATGTGTGGATGATAATGTCCACAAAAATATTAGGTAATTATACATTTTAATGCAGTAGTTTATTCTCCAGTATATTATCGATTAGTTATTGGTATAAAGAACATAAAGGTAATTTTTGAAAGCAAGTAAAAAATGTAGAGGATTTTATGCAGAGTTTTTTTTTTTTTTTTTAAATTGAATGCATTATCTTTTTCTGTTGAGCCAGATCACAATATAAAACAGTTAAACATGTATTTAAATAAAACTAAAATTAACACATATTGTTTAAGGAACTCACTGTGCATTGTAGAACCTGCATTTCTTTTTCCCTTCCTCCTTCCATCAATTTCTTAAGTTTCATCTTTGCCCTTTCCCTGTTCTTTGCTCACCCTGGCCCATGTGATCAATCTTTTAAAAAAACAAAACATAAAAATATAATATATGTTTTAGGAAGTCTCATTGTGCATCATATACACCTACATTTATACTCCTATTGTCTGTTTTTGCTTTATTGCAGTTTGTAATTTCTCTTACATAGTTTATTTCTTCTTGATTTGGCTTCAAATGCACAACTTTGTAATATGAAAAATATTGTCTTTAAATGGATAATGTAGTGCTAGGAATACAACTTTGTACTACAGTTCCCTCTAGTCTCCCTCCCCCCCTCCTCTCCCCCTTTCTGTTGTGCCCTTACCCCATTATATTAAGGGCTAACAAAACTTTAGTCACTTACCCGATTCCAGTGCCAAACTCCCTCGGTGCTGGGTTGGTGCTCCGCCTTCTCTGACATAATTTGATGGGGGGAGCTTATGCGCGGCAGGCATTGCAAGCACATTTTGCTATACATGTTTTTGTACCTAAAATTATAAATGAATGCCCTTAGGTCCATTGCACTTTGTGCATAAATATTTAATATTTAATTTACCACTCTCCCAGTTGTGTCAAAAAGCTACAATAAGTAGATTTTTCTCAAAGTACAGTTAAGGATTGATTGCATATGACAAGTGTTCATCACTTTTTTCATAAAACTTAGCTGTGATGAACTTATGAGTTTTACTATGGCAGTTAGGAGAGTGCCAGACCTGCCTTCATTATTTGATAAGGTGCAAAGTGTACATGACATCATTGTGGTGACATTAGGTGACAAAGTAATTGGTTTACTTAAAAACTGCATTTTATAGACTCCAGAAGAGACAAGAAAATAGATAAGGAGATCACTTTTTCTGTTTCCACTGCATAACTGTACATGGGTAGGTGAAATTGCATGAAGGTTGACATTTATGAGAATAAAATGAAACGAGCATTGAAACAATGGCATGAAATTATGGAGATCATATAAAATATGTTGGAAGATGGCATGGACTGAGGAGGTGGCATGAAAGGATAGCAGCTGCTGAAGGAATTAACATGAAACGGGGAAGGGCGAATATACAGAATAAAGTGGCATAAAGTGTATAAGTGAATATACAGAATAAAGTGGCATGCAATATTAAATAATAAAGGGACATCATGATCTGAGAAATGCCACCTGCTCAATTTGCAAATCAGACGTCGTGAAAAATGTGGATGATGGAGGTGCTATATGAAGGAGGTGGCTTCCCCATTTTCATTTTTACATTTTTATTGATGTTTTTAAAGATAGATGAAACCTACCATTAATCTGTGACATACTATTATATTCCTTTGTGATGTATTGATTGATGAGCTGGTTTTAATTTCCACAAGATCTGCAAAACCAAAATAAAAATAAAAAATTGTAATAAGTTGCATTATTAACATTTAAAAAAAAAAACGAGAACATCTCAAGTTTGTAATCACTTGGGAATAAATTCCATTATTTGAAGCTAAAATCAAAAACCTTTTAATGCAAATACTAAGGCTTAAATATTTCCCCTTTGCTACAATTTTTTTCTTATGCCAAGAAAACATTATACACAATCCAGAAATGAGTGATAACGTAATTTCATCTCACAGTAAAATTTTATTCTTATGCTTAGCTTTAGGCACTTTACATTGCATTGATTATGTCAGTGGATCTTTAAGTAGGTTAGCATTACTCACAAATACTGGCTACATCAATATTATGAGAAATAAGGTATTACCGTAACAATATAAGAAATCTGAATTTGCATCTATTCTCTGATCCTACATGCACCTCTGACACCTGCCTCCAAGATTTCTCTAGGGCCGCACCGTCACTGTGGAACGACCTTCATTAGACTCTCACCCAGTCTCGGTTCCTTCAAGAGATCATTAAAAAAACTCACTACTAGAGTTGAGCGGACACCTGGATGTTCGGGTCCGGCGGGTTCGGCAGAACTTTGAAAAAAAAGTCCGGGTTTCGAGATCGAACTTGACCCCGAACTTGACCACGAACCTGAACACCATTGAAGTCAATGGGGACCCGAACCTTTGGCCACAAAAATAGCTCTAAAAGACTCCTGGAAAGGGCTAGAGAGCTGCAAAAGGAAGTAAAATGGGGGTAAGAGTAGCACAAGTGCCCTGAAAACAAATGTGGATAGGGAAATCACTTAAAATAACATAAAAATTAAAAATACAACTGAGCTATAAAATAGCACTAGATGAAATCTTTGATTTTAGCTTTGGAAGAACATAAATCAAAATCTAAAGCATGGCTGTCAGGAGGAACACCAGAATTATCAATTTGAGAGAGGGTTGGAGTGCAGGGTATTCTCTTTCATTGTTCAAACTGAGCTCAACTCCTGATGCATGGAGAAAAGGCCTTCACAAGCCTCTGCTATTGTGTACATAGTTTATACTAAGTGACCCATAGGTTGAGGAGGCGGTGACCGTGGCGGTGTAGGTGGAAGTGGCGGTGGAGGAGGAGGAGGAGGAGGAGGTAGCCAACACTGTTTTTTATTTGTTTGTTTTTTTTTTTTTGTGTTTTAATTGGGGTAGCCCCCAAAATATTGGGACATATATAAAAGACAACTCTGTTGCGCAGGCACTTTGTTGACTCTAGAGAACCTCGGGCCAATCGCACATCCCTGTGACGGCGACTTTGCATTTGGATGTCATCCATATCAACTTTCAATGCCAGTTTCTGCATCTATCATGGTGACCACGGGTAACGGGGAATCAGGATTCCATTCCATACAGGGACCCTGAGAAACGGCTACCACATGCAAGGAAGGCAGCAGGCGCGCAAATGACCCACTCCCGACGTGGGAAGGTAGTGACGACAAATAACAATACAGGACACTTTAACTCTGATCAATTGGAGAGAAGTCTGGTGCAGAGCCACTGACCCGTGCGTGCTGCAGCTGAAACTCCACTATTGCCTGCTGCTGCTGGCACAGTCTCATGAGGCAGTGAGCAGGAAGGCTGAAGTTACGCTGCAGTGCAGACAGGCGAGCAGCAGCAGGATGAGAACGCCAAAAGCGCGCACAGCCGCTACATTGAATGTCACATCCTGTTCCAAGTTGCGGATTAGTCTGGTGATGGCTTCTGGTATCCAGTACTCTTTTTACTGAAGCTGCATCAGGGTCCTGGTATGTGGCCGCACAAATGCTGGTGCTCAACACCAGGGGGCATGCGGTTACCCTGCACCAGACCCTGCTAATCCATTCCATCCTTTGACTCCTAACTTCAACATCAGGCATACTGGGTCCCGGTCGTCCAACCGCCGCCAAGACAGTGTCTGGGTCCTGGTCACTGGACTGCCCACCTCACTGTGAAACTACAAATGGATCGTTAAATCTGGTACGAACCCGAATTTTGCAGTTCGGGTTCGCTCAACTCTATTATGGATATTTTGATCGCTACATGTATTACTTGGATAACTGTTAATTCTTGCGCTAATACATGCCAACGAGTGCTAGGGGATAGCCGCTCTGCTTTTGTACCCTGCTCCCTCTTATGCTGTGCTGGTGCCTCTGTGCAACCAGCGCCTCTTCCTCCAAACTGCACACGCCACTCGCATGACCTTGATTCCATGTGGGGTGCAGGACCTCATCATCCTCCACATCCTCTTCCACCTGCTCCTCAACCCTGCCCTCCTTGCCGGTATGCACACTGCAGAAAGCCACAGCAGTTGGCACCTGTGTTTTTCCAGCATGTAAAGTCTGCAAAGGACATATGGAAATTGTGTTAGAATTGTATCCAGGCAACAGTGTTCCCTATAAACTGACCTCTCAGTTTGACTTGTGAGGGTATTGCCCTAGAATTACAATATTGTTTAAGTACCTCTTAGCTATTAATAACTGGTTTAAATATAGCAGCTTGTTATCTGGTAGTTTCTAGTGTAGAAAATATCAATCTGTTTTCTATCACTTAGATCTGTGTAACAAGTGTTGTAGGTGTGAAACAATATTACAAGTGACCGATGTAGTAAATTCGAATCAAAGTTCAATTTGCAAAAAAAATTCTTGCCCATCTTCTGTGGGTTATTAGACTTATTGTATCACACTAGTCATGCACAGGTAGATTGTCTGGCACATTGTTTTGGTGTTTGGTTTTTAACTTTGTAGTTGTGTCTTTACACAATATAGAAATGTATATTAACCCCTTAAAACCCGAGGGCGTACTATTACGCCCTATTCTAATCGGCTCTAAACGCCGCAGGGCGTAATAGTATGCCCTCATGGTTTTTCTTACTTACCCGGTCGGGGAACTCACCTAGGATCCCAGTGAGTCCCCCACGGCGGATTCTGCCTCCTCCGGCCCCCCGGCCATGTGAGGTTTTATGGTGTTTTCAAAAGTTACAGCGTCAAATATAAGGCTTGTGTTTCATTTTTTTCACATTAAAATTCGCCAGATTGGTTACATTGCCTTTGAGACCATATGGTAGCACAAGAATGAAAATTACCCATATGATGGCATACCATTTGCAATAGTAGACAACCCAAGGTATTGCAAATGGGGTATGTCCAGTCTTTTTTAGTAGCCACTTAGTCACAAACAATGGCCAAAATTGGCGTTTCTTGCATTTTTCACACACAAACAAATATTAACGCTAACTTTGGCCAGTGTTTGTGACCAAATGGCTACTAAAAAAGACTGGACATACCCCATTTGCAATACCTTGGGTTGTCTACTATTGCAAATGGTATGCCATTATGGGTGTAAATTTCATTCCTGGACTACTATACAGTCTCAAAGGCAACGTAACCAATCTGGCAAATTTCAATTTCAAATGTAACGTGCTATATTTGACCCTGTAACTTCCCAAAACACCATAAAACCTGTACATAGGGGGTACTTTTTTACGTGTGAGACTTTGCTGAATACAAATATGTGTATTTTATTGCAGTAAAAGCAAACAGTATTATGATATTGACAGTTAAAATGTCATGTAGCACTAAAAAAATAATAAAATTTCTTATTTTCGCCCATTTTTTTCATATTAAATTATGTTTCATAGCTAAATATATTGAATGAAAGCCCTGTTTCCCCTGAATAAAATGATATATAATAAGTGCGGGTGCATTTAATATGAAAGAGGTGAATTATGGTTGGACAGACATTTAGCGCAAATGCTAGGTTTTGTTTACGTCTTGTTTTGTTCACAACGTGTACATTTGGCTCTGTCCTTAAGGGGTTAATGCTTCTGTATATGAAGCGATCACAATAACTTATTTTTCAATTTAAAAAAAAAACAATCCGGCTACACAAAAAATTGGTAATTCACAATATGACATCTGAAAAGCACATGAAACGATGCTGTATGATTTAAAAAAAAAAGAAAACACTACATGAAGTCCTGTTCACTAGAGTGTGTAGTCATGAATGTAACCAGTAAAACGTTTTTACAGCCACTGGTTGGCCCATACATATTTTAAAACTTTTTAATTTTGCTGTAGCGTGACTTGTAGATATGAAGAGCAGGCCTCAAAATTTACTATTTAGCAGATTAGCACCCAGAAAATAAGAATGTTTACCACTGCGCTGTAAGCACACTATTAGACGCTTCTATTTGACTCTCAGATATAAAGTGCACATCCCAAATATACTATTTAGCACCAAAAAGAATTTTTTTTTACTATTTAGCAGATTAGCACCCAGAAAATAAGAATGTTTACCACTGCGCTGTAAGCACACTATTAGATGCTTCGAATTGACTCTCAGATATGAAGAGCAGGCCCCAAAATGAACTATTTAGCAGATTAGCACCCTGAAAATAAGAATGTTTACCACTGCGCTGTAAGCACACTATTAGACGCTTCTATTTGACTCTCACATATGAAGTGCACCGCAGGCCGCAAATGTACTATTTAGCAGATTAGCACCCAGAATATAAGAATGTTTACCACTACGCTGTAAGCACACTATTAGACGCTTCGATTTGACTCTTGGATATGAAGTGCACACCCCAAATATCATAGGCATGCGCAGCCTATTGTATAACGGTGTGCACCCTAAAGCAGAAACACACACGCCGTGTATATATATATATATATTCACATATATACACATACATACACACACACACACTGCTGTGTGTTTGAGGGTGCTGTGTGTGAGTGTAGGTGCTGTGTGTGAAGGCACTGTGTGTGTGCAGGCTGTGTGTGTGCAGGCGCTGTGTGTGAAGGCGCTGTGTGTGTGTGTGGGCGCTGTGTGTGTGTGTGGGCGCGCTGTGTGTGTGAAGGCGCTGTGTGTGGGAAAGCGCTGTTTGTATGAAGGTGCTGTGGGTGTGTGAAGGTGCTGTGTGTGTAAGGGTGCTGTTAGTGTGTGCTGTGTGTGTAGGTGTAAGGGTGCTGTTAGTGTGTGTGTGTGAGGGTGCTGTGTGTGTAAGGGTGCTGTTAGTGTGTGCTTTGTGTGTGTGGGTGAGGGTGCTGTGTGTGTGAAGGTGATGTTAGTGTTGGTAAGTGTAAGGGTGCTGTGTGTGTAAGGGTGCTGTTAGTGTGTGCTGTGTGTAAGGGTGGTGTTAGTGTGTGCTGTGTGTGTGTATGTGTGAGGGGTACTGTGTGTGTAAGGGTATTTATTAGTGTGAGGTACTATTAGTGTGTGTGTGTAAGAGGTGTTAGTGTGTACTGTGTGTGTGTAAGGGTACTGTGTGTGCTGTGTGTGTGTGTGTAAGGGTGCTGTGTGTACTGTGTGTGTGTGCCTTATGTGTAGGGAGGTACTGTGTGTAAGAGGTACTGTGAGTGTAAAAGTGCTATTAGTGTGCTGTGTGTGTATGAGGTACTGTGTGTAAGGTATTTGTTAATTTGTGTGCTGTGTGTGTGTGTATGTGTGAGGTGCTGTGTAAGGTGCTGTGTGTACTGTGTGTGTGTGTGTAAGGTGCTGTGTGTATAGGAATTACTGTGTGTGCTGTGTGTGCGTATGTGTGTGAGGGTGCTGTGTGTGTAAAAAGGGTGCTGTGAGTGTAAGGGTGCTGTTAGTGTGTGCTGTGTGTGTGTAGGGTGCTGTGTGTAAGGTATTCATTAGTGTGTACTGTGTGTGTGTGTGTATGTGTGAGAGTGCTGTGTTGTATAAGAAGTGTTGTTAGTGTATTACTGTGTGTGCTGTGTGTAAGGGTGCTGTTAGTGTGTGCTGTGTGTGTATGTGTGAGGGTGCTGTGTGTGTAACGGTGTTAGTGTGAGGGTGCTGTTAGTGTGTGTGTGTGTGTGTGTAAGGGTGTTGTTAGTGTGTGCTGTGTGTGTGTATGTGTGAGGGTGCTGTGTGTGTAAGGGTGTTGTTAGTGTGAGGGTACTGTTAGTGTGTGTGTGTAAGGGTGTTGTTAGTGTGTGCTGTGTGTGTGTGTAAGGGTGCTGTGTGTGTAAGGGTGCTGTGTGTGTAAGGGTGCTGTGTGTGCTGTGTGTGTGTATGTGTGAGGGTGCTGTGTGTGTAAGGGTGCTGTTAGTGTGAGGGTGCTGTTAGTGTGTGTGTGTGTGTGTGCTGTGTGTGCTGTAAGTTTGTGTGTAATGTGTGGGGGCTGTTTAGTTAATATCCCCCCTCCCTTCTTACCTTATGTAGGGAGGGGGGACCATGCTCCTGCTTTCCCTGGTGGTCCAGTGGAGAGTGAACTCTGGCCCCCTGTGGGGCTAGAGTTCACTCTCGTGAGATCTGAGCGTTGACTCTCAGATATGAAGTGCATCCCGCAAATGTACTATTTAGCAGATTAGCACCCACAAAATAAGAATATTTACCACTGCTATTGTACAGTACTACTGAATTTGTTGGCACTTTACAAATAATAATAACAATTACAGTCTTACATTTGACTTTACATACGGCTGTGCAATGTGAAATCAATAGTA